CGCCTTTCATAAACATCATTCCCCCGAAGTTATGTAAATTGTATTGACCTGTGACACGGGGAACCGGAGCTCGGCTGAATACGCCGCATCGAAGTTCTCGAAGGACTTAGGAAGTTCCTCCGCGACACTGGTCGTATTCACGTCAGAGAGGCGAGAGGAGCTCAATATATTGGAAGATACGGGAAAGAGCCACGATCGATCGTCGAAACGTAAATTACGGACATTCAGAGGCGAGTATCTTCACGCTGGTGATTCCCTTCTCGGTTATTTCCCTATTGAAAGCTGTAAACCGGCTCTTTTTATCATGGAAACGTAAAACGTGCTTCGGATGGCGCATTGCAGCACCGAAGAGCCTCTTACCGACGCGAAAGAAGTAAAACGCTTGTCGATTCTCCTCGTCATTTTTATTATTTTTCACACTCCCTCTTCCTCTTTTTGTTTTTCAAACATGTATTTTCAATTTTCGTCACGGTCGCTCTGGTTCTATCAGTGAAATAACACGCAACGAAGTTGTCATGTAACATTGTGTCGTTACAGGATTTTACGTTGAATTTGACAAACGTGAATACTATTCTGTTTGCGTCCGTTGAAGGAATTCATTTCTTTACGAACGTTCTAGCTTCAGAGAGAATTTGTCCTGTCAGTGAATATGCAATTTAGTTCATCGAATGTTTGATAACATAATTTTTGTAAATTCAAAGGATGAAAGTTCTATATTCTACAATTCTCTCCTTTCGAAGTCCTGATTTCCTACTTTTTTAAAAACAATAAAATATGCCACGAATATCTTAATACTGAAATTTACCATTAAATACTCTTTCCCCGGTCACTCGAACATTCTGTCAGACACAGGCCATTTTTCGTATAATGGAACGTCCGTTCCATCGAGAAGATTATTCGCGATACGTTGATAGAATTCGTCCTCCCGCGTCGCAGTTGCGGCGTGTATATAAATTACAGTGTCTACGAGGGTAAGCTAACTCGGTCATCGCCGGGGAGTGTCCCGTTTCCGTCGCGAATCGTTACATCGAAAGAAATACAGGCTGAACAGCCGCGGAGAGTGGGTCCTCGAAAGACGTTCCGCAGCGAGCGCGGCCCTCCTTCCTCGACGATTAAAGTCAATTTGGCCCGTTCCCCGTGCCTCATTCTCGCGAACGCTCCTCCGGGTAAAACGGTCGCTCGGTTGCCTAGCCGAGTGGCTGCAACAAAAACGACCTCTCCGCGAGAGGAAGCGGCCCGCTAGATTTCTCCGGCCGTCTTTCTTTCGGATCGAGCGCGCGCCGGAGCCCGGGATCTCGGAATGGAAATATCGCGGCGCGTGTTGTTTGTCCGTGTGGACCCCGCCGTCAGCTCGAACGCGAGTAATTACATAAGACTAGGCGGAATTTTACCCGTCTCCCTCGAGGACGCATTTAGCTGACGGCTTTTTTCGACGGCGCCGCACTTACGGCGATCCGAACGATGAGATACCTTCTGCGGACTGCATTCGCGGTGGGTTGGTAACGGTACGATTGCCATTGTGCGGGTTTCGGTAAGACCAGGCTGTTCTCCGCTCCGTTATTCCTCGGAGACGCCATTTTGTCGGCTTTGATTCTTTGCTCTAGTCGGTAGATGTCGCGCAGTGTTCTTTTAGGTTAGGTTCGAATGCGCATTAAAATCTCAATGGTTGTTTTTACATATTAATCCTTAACGGAGTAATGCTGCTACACAGACATGGTAATTTTACTTAACAATGCTGCGTATATGACGGTGAAAATCATTTTATTATTTTTTAGTATTTTTTGGTAAGTAAACTTGAAACACTTCCGATTCGTTAAGGGTTAATTTCAATCGGAGAGTTGGAATTCAAATTTTAATGGTCAGAATTCAATATGAAGGTAATATTCGAATTCAAATGTAAACTTCAGCAGTGAGGATTCAAGAATTTCCACATATACGAAATAAAGAATGGGCAGTCAGCTCTGCATCCATTGATCGTATCTAAAAACTATTTATTCCGTTCGCTCTGCGTTTACGGCGGCCTTTCCCAAACGAAAATATTCAATATCCTTCAGTAACAGGTGCAACTCTATCTCGGCTGAAAAGTGTGCGGCACGGTTTACGCGGTTTTCCCCGAAAAATTACAATTTCAGCCTGACAGAAACATGAAAACTTATCAGACGCGGGGCGCGCGAATGACACAGTGGATTATTCGAATTTATGGCGTCCCTTCTTCGCGGTCCTGACCCGATTTCACCTAGAAACGCTCGCCGATTCGAAAAACGGGATTTCCAGTTGTCGCGCAATTTTATTCGCAACCCCGTTTAACCGTTTCTGCGTACACACTGCGCCGCTCCGCTTAAAAAATTCATCGGCAAACATCATGAATTTTCGACAATGCGAGAGGAGTGTCGCCCCTACCGCGCGAGGATATATTTCGAAGGGATCCGCGCGTCGGTAAATCAGTCGAGGTTTCGAAATAAAAGCTGCCTCGCCGCTCCAACCTACTCGCGAGCGGAATATCAAGCAGCCGGATACTTCTCGCCGAATATTTCACGTCGTTTTCTTGGCGGTTATAGCACGGGCATCCGAGTGTTTCCTTTTTCTCGCGTGTTCTCGCGATGGCATCACTTCTGTTGTTGATCTCCCGATGAAATCTTTAGTAGAGAATTCAACGGTTTTTCTATTACGATAATCTTCAGTTTTATAACGTTTGCGAGCTCGAATTCTGAGTGACATTAATCCTTGTAGATTCCTCGAGCAATTAATATTCGGCGAATTCAATTAGACAAATGAAATATAATATGAGTTCAATATAGAACACAAGGGAGAATTTGTTATGAATGCAACGATTAAAGATGAAGCATTCTTCTTCTGGACGAATTAAATTGAAAACTACTTGAATAGTCTGTTCGAATAAATCCCCGCATTTCTATCGTGTTTCTCCGTCTGCTCTAATATTCTTACGCAGAAGGGTATTGGGAGAGGAGTATTCGCTCGTTAAAAGCTCTCGCACACAAGTGTCCACTAGTAATTACACGCGTCCCATTCTCCCCGATAATTCCGCAGCCCGTTCGCAGTTGCCACAAACAAAGCTCGAAGGAAGTTCGAGATATTTCCATTTCCAAGCGTTCGCGGGCTCGTAGCCAGCGACAATAAACGTGTTCGAGGCACTGGGGGACGCCGGTGTAAGACTCGTTTCTCGCAAGAAGCGTTCGTCATCGAGCGTCAATAGGGAGCAGAATAGGGGAGTCACGAGTCAAGGGGCAACTGTGACAGGGAAATGACGGCTCCCCTAGCCGAGAGAAAGACGAGTTTTACCCGTGAACGCACGGGAACGTCGGTGCTGCTAATTTTCCCTCTACGGTTTTCCTCTCACTGCTCGAATACTCTGCGCAGTTTAGTCGGCGGCTGCGAGAAACGCGATTTCAACCGCTCGCGTTAGTGTCTCTACTGAATCAACTGTAGATTTTGCTTATTTTCTCAAATTAATCCGTCGTACTTGAACATTTGATAAAAATTAGCTTGTCGTTTTCTTTAAGGGATAATGTAACATTCAGTATAAAATACAAACATCTTTCTAATAGAGGATTCTTCGAATCAGCTCGCGCGGATCTATATTTCTACACATCTTAACTTGCTAATACAGAACGACTATAAACCACATTAACCTAAACATTTACGATCCACAACTTCAGCCGCAATTCCTTCCTCTCCTTTCACATCCTATTCGCTCCAGCTTTTCCAGCATTCCCAAAAAAGCCAGCTAAAAATTCTCAAAAGCGACCCGACGTAGCAAGCCCGTCTCCTTCTTCGCAGCATATTCCCGTTGCGCGGAATCAGCGGTTAAGCCCTTGTCGACTGTGGGCGTCGCGCAATCGATTGCAGCTCGCATAAAGGCCTGGTCCCCCGGCGCTCGAGGACGAAAGAGGAACACGCGTAATCCCTTTTGTCTCTGCGGATGTTCCGCCGCGTTCCCTCGCCGGAACTCGCAGCGACGCGAGGTCGGGCCATGGCGCGCGGCGGCTTTAAATGGTAATTTAAAGGGGCGAGCGGATGGGAACGTCAACGGGACCTGTATAATTGAGCACGTCGGCTCCGGAACGTTCCGCGAGAGTTGGATCACGATTCCGAGGGTTGCTTTCTTATATAATTGCCGGTCGGGAATCGCACGGTCCGCTAGTGGGCTTGATGGCTCTGGAGCTACGGTGTCCGAGGGTGGAGACCCTCTTTTCCTACCCCTCTTCATTCGCCGGATAACGTCTGGTGACACGAGTCGGGAAACAGAGGTACAAGGGATCGAACGGAGCATAAATAACTGTCCGATGGAGCGTTATTTGAAGTTTCGTGGTTGGTATTCGGAATTTCAGAAGGAAACCGTGAAGTGCAGTTAACACGCCGCTTACTACTTGCTTTGTGATTCAGTTAATTATCTGAAGCAGTTGTTCGGACTTTAATAGTCGAGTTACGTATATAATAACAGTATTATTCCTGTAAAAGTTAGATCTTTGAACGCACTCGAAGCGATATTTGGTTACGCGATTTACCACTGCTACAGCGTGAATAATTCTCTTTTAATTATAAATTCAATTTTAAACTCTACACGGGAATTGCTGCACGAGGATAAGATAAGATGAGTGAACAAGCGTGTACGATTAATGGGCGAAAATTGTATCCGCCAACCGTCCGCTACAAAACCCGCGAGTTACCGTATCAGTTTCTTCGTTTGTTTGTAAAGTCAGCAGTTTCGGAGGCGCCCGCGAGAGTTTCCATTACACGGGATGGTTGGCTAAATATCCTCGGCTGTTTGTACCACCGGAAATATTGGAGTGTTCGTTTGTAACCGATGATACTTCATTAGAAGTGGATAAATAGAGTGCTGAAATTGCTACTCCCGCGTCGAGCAACACACGCGCAGCTTGTTTTTCATGTTTCCTTCCATCCTGTATCTATTTTGTTATCTTCTTGTTCCCTGGTGTTTAATCACTAGGCGATTAAGAATATATTCTTACATGTTGCAGATGTTCGAATGAGTGCGACGGTCGACGAACTTTCCACGAGGAATTATTTGGATTTGTGCCCGTGTGCCAGTGAGGATTCTCTCGCCTCTCGTCATCGATCGGTGAGCAACTTTCATTCGATTCGATCCATTCAGATCTATGCACACGCTATTAATTTTCTTGTTAACCGCAGCAGCGGCCGAGGGTGCTCGCGCTGAAACTCCAAACACTTACTCCGCTGAAGTGCGAGCGAAAAAACATAATTATTTATTTTCAAATGTATCCACGATCGCTGGGAACATCCCGGTGCTCGAGAAGCTCTCCTCTCGAGTGAAAAGCTCTTCGTCGTTTAAACATTTCAGCGGAAGAATCCACTCTGCTCCCCTTCTCTAATATCGAGTCTATATCACCGGTCGAAAGTTTGGGATCTTGTATTCATGGTCCTTCAGAGAAAACCAAACGGAAAGTAATAAAAGTCACTTGTTGGATTCCGCAGTCTGCTCTGTCTTTTATCCGTCTTCCTTTTCCATTTCTCTATGATTTCATAGACTATCGTAGGTCGATGAATGTTTGCTTCCCGAACTATCATTTCGCGAGGAACGGATATGAGATCGAATGTTTAAATGTCATCGTTCAGAATTATGAGTGTTATATCCTCGTAACACTGTATTTCAATATATATTAGAAAACGTATAATTCCGTACTTTTAGTTTCAAATTTAGTTTTAGTTTCATTTCAATCAGTGCTCTAATTCAATTCTCGAGCAGCAGATGTCACGAGAAACCAGAGTTCCCAGTAAACCAATTTAACAACTGGGTCAATTGTCGATCAATTATCTCGACGAATTATTTCAAACTCTACTAGACGGTTCACGCTATTCGAGTGTTTATCGCGGGCGGGCCGGAGGTCGAGTCGCGCGGACGCGGGAAAATATAAAAAGAATATATAGCCGGTTCTCACGGCGCGGCAGGAATAATTTGCATTTAAATTCGCCGTTTAAATTTCAAATGAACCGCGCGGGACAAATTGCCGGCGGGACGCGTGCGTGGCGGCGATTATCAGGAATCGGGCTTGACGAGGACGGTAAAGAAAGAAATACGCGGAACCGGAATCAAATTACGCCCCCCGCGTAATCTCGCGTGACTTCCGGAATTCCTCGCGACAATATTTCCTTCCGCGGACACCGCCGGTGGTTTAATTTTCACCGCGTAAAAATTTCGTCGCCTGTAACGCGCTCGCCTATTGCATATGTAAATTCGCATTTTCGTTGTTAATTTCGCGCGGCCCGGGGAAACTTTGTTTCCTACGGGGCGGCGCTCGTGGAGAAGCAAACAGAAGCTGTAATTGTGATGAACGGGTGTGTATTGCTTATGAGGATCTTGAACGATCAAGCGTAAACTTTAACGCGTCGCGGATACGGATTTATGAATGCATCGGAAATCTTTCTCGTAAAACACTTGATCGTAGTCGTGGAATAAATATTTAATGCTAGAAAACAGCTATGAACACTAGGAAATAAGAGACTGTGTATTATTAATGTTTTATTTTCCGCATAACTAAATTCTTTGTTTTCAATGTTAGATTCTGGATACGTAAACCCAATACGATCGACACGACGCTAGTTTCTAGAGGTTTAAAGGAACACTGAATTTTTCTTTTATTCCAATTCATATTTTAAACGTGGATTTCACGGGACTGGAACAATTGTATTTTTTCTGGCGCAAGAGGGAAAGCGAATGGAAGCGGTAATTGTGATTAACGGGTTTTTACTGCTTATGAAAATCTGGGGGATAGAAATGAGGTGGAATTTTGAAAGGAATCTCATGAATTTTCAGTTTATCCGTTAGCATCTTATTTTTATTGCACGGAAATAAAGATTCCGTTCTGCTTCGAGGTTTGCGGGATCCCTGTATGAGATTCATTAGCGCGAACGCTCGCGGTCTTGATTAAGAGAGAGGCCATTATTAACCTGCGAAATTCTTGGATATTTAACTTAGAATGCAACTCGGGTACGCGAGTGCCTGGTCTCTGTTATTCAACGTTCCTCAGCGATGTCTTAATCGGATTTCTTAATCAGAGAGAAACATTCAGAAAGAACGCAACGGTTAATAACAGAAAACATTTACTTCTCGTAACTCCGGTCAAGAGGCTCCTCGCGCAAACACATCACAGGGCACCGGGCGAAACTGCCGAATTCGAAAGCAAGAAACCGAACTTTCTCTCGGAGACCTCCATCAATTTCCTCGTCCACTCGCAAGTGTGTCGGGCAGATTACACGGGAGCGTGTTTGCGCGCAATGGATAGCCCAGCAATCCGTCGAGACTTCGTTTGTCCGGGCCGAAGAGCGAGGATCGATCGAAATTTGATCCAGGCCAGTGGCGGCGTAATGTATTCGCGACGGCGCGCGCCTGTTACCCATGATCTCGCAAACGAACGGGAATCCCGCGCCTCGGACGGAGCTCGGCGCGCGAATTCAATCATAAAATCGTAAATGTTTGAACAGACCAGCGTGGAATTGATCTGACGCGCGATGCCGGCTCGTGTGCGGTTATTGTCGCGACGGGCCGGCTCGGGGTCAGGGGTCGGGGGTTGAAGGAAGGCACGCCGGCCGCAGTCGGGCCATCGATCGAATAAATTATCTCGTTCTGTTTGCCCTGCTCCCTTCGTGCTCGCCCCCCGCGGCCCTTCCTCTTACCGGGACGACGCCATTCCGAGGCAATAAATTCCCGGACTAATTACGGCCGCGCGGACATTGTTCTTCCGCGCGGAACCTGCGTCGATGCGCCCGGAAAACATTGTCTTAATTTATTGAACGGGATCGGCCGTCTTCGATGCTCCTGTCCGCGCTTCTTTCCTCCAATCTGAGAAGTATTGGCGAAGGATCATCGGAGGAGGTCTCGTGAAACTGGAAATTGCATCGTCGCGAACATTTTGAATTTTATATTTCGTCGATTAAATATTAGCCGGACGGGAACTGGAAGGAATCACTGCCACGCGAAATTTTGAGTTTCGAATCGTTCGATGAGATGGAAATTGGAGAGCACGGTGACTGTAACATTTTGATTTTTCATTTGCCCGATGAGATGGAAATTGAAAAGCGCGATAACTGGAAAATATTGATGTGTAATTCGTTCGATGCATTGGAGATTGGAAAGAGGAATTACTGCGTATAATTTTGGATCTTTAATTCGTTTAATGAGATCAGGCGGGAGGGGTGATTGCAACGTAACGGTTTGCCCTTTAGCACGTCTAATGACACGGCGAACGAAAAGAGTGATTACTATGGAAAGTGTAGGCTACGAGTTTGTTTAATGACGTGGAAAACGAAAGAGCGATTACTATGTAAAGTGTTAGCGTTGAATCTGCTTAATGACACGGGAATCGAAAAGAGCGATCGCCGCGCGAATTTTCGACTTTTAACGATCACGCGTTTATTGGATTTATTTAGAGCACAGTCGATGCCGGCGTTAACGTGTTACTTTTAAAGTATAAACGAAGCGCATTCCGTAACGCGTTCACGGTGAAGTTGGTCGAGATGCATAAGAATGATTGCGAAGGGAGCACTATTGCGCCAGCTGTTTAATAGATATTTCATGTTGGCCTCGCGCTTTACGAGCCTGCCTCAGCTTCATTGATTCATGCTCCCTGGGTGCCGGAACTTTTATGCACCTCGGTAAATTAGCATCGTAGAAAGTATTGCGCGGCTGTTAATCACTCGGCCCCCCATTAATCGCTTACCGGCTGATATTCGACTGGAACGCGCATCGAATATCGTGATTATTCGCGGTCGAACACACGCAATGTAAACACTCTACCGAAATAACGACAGAACCGACAAACTAATCTCACCTTTCTCCAAATAACAAGAAACGTTTCTGCCACTAAATTAATAGAACCAGCCAATTGGACGCGTATTGAGCTTATTAAACATTATTAAACCTTTAGTACCCAATTGTCTTCTAACCTAATTCGCAAGATCCGAACGAACAGCAATTTTCCACAGCACAGCAGGACAAACTGCACGATAATCATCTGCGAGCCTAGTGTGAAACAGTTTTTCCATCATTCGATTACGAACGCGATCAAACGAGACGTTCCCAGCGTCATAAAGCAATTTGCCCGTTGTCCGATCGCAAGTACGGCCGAGTGGAACGCACTTTTTCTCCACGGGGGTATTAATTTTGCTCAGTTTCATCGCTGATCCGGAACATCGGATACATTCCCCGTCCGACGGCAACCGAAGAGTCCGATCGAGCGTTAAAAGGAAAACAATGGCTCGAAATACGCGCCGTTTAATTATTTAATCAGGGCCCAGTGGTCAAGTAGGTTACACGGTCCGATCGAAGTCCAATTGGAAGCCAGGCAGCGTTGGACCGGCAGTCGTCCTCCAATTGCAATTGCTGACGCGAACTTACGCACACACTGTGCGAACGTCGGAGAGAGACAAACAGCGTCAGGAGCGAAGATCTCAAATTATGCACGAGCGCAATTAACTGACTGTAAGCGGGTTGTCGATACGCGTTGCCGTCCGCCATATGCTTCTCCCATCGATACGCCCGTTTTGCGCGTTAAATTAATTATCCCGACTTAATGACGTATATACCGCAAAGACGAACGCGCGAGAGTATCGATTCCCGACGGCTGTTCCGCTGGCGTTTTCGTAACCACGCCCGAAATTCCTCGCGCGATCGATCTTCCGTCGAACTGCGATAAAAATTTTATGGCTTCGATTCCGAGGATGGCGCGTTGTTCGTTAAGCGAGTGCTTTGTGGATTGCTTTGGAATTATTCGTTTGGATTGCGTGGTCGTTGCTGCTGCCGGGAAGTAACGATTGCTGGGAGCAGGGAAAAATGGCTGAGGTCAAACAGGAATTTGTGTTTGAGACGGAATCGTTCTTATCTCTGGTTAGCGAATGAAAAGTAGGTTAGAGTTATAGAAGGGATAAACGTTCATCACGAACGTTCATCACGAACCTTATTCGTTGTTATAATATCTGGTTAAGCAGGAAAGTAAAAAGAATATTCTCCCTCAGCAAATAGAAACCCTCGCGAAACAGATCTACAGCGAAATACACAAAACAACGAGAACAATCCTAAAGCAACAGGACCGAAACAAAGGAGCT